GCCCCAGGAGTCCGGGGACGAGGCGGGGGAGCAGCCGCAGTCCTTGTCGGAGCGCGGCGGAGGCCGGGCCGGGCCCCAACCCGGGGAGAGGAGCCAGGACTCGGAGAGCGGCGGGCACAGGGACTGGGCCATGGCGGCGGTGGCGCGTCTGGGGGCCGGCGGCCGGCGACCGCTTTATCCCGAGCCCGAGGTGTGAAGTGGCCCCTTCCAGGCCGCATCAGCACTTCAAAGCGGGCTCGGGACCTGGAGGGGGCGGGGCCTGACCCTTTGAACCAACGGCGTGGGGGGGGAGTTGCTGAAGGTGCGGGCCCATGGCTGCCCCAGGTTAGCCCCACCTGGGCCCCTGCATGGGCACCTGACCCAGCCGCTCGGGCCTCTTGCTTGCGCCCAGTGGCCCGAGCTGCCTGGTGTGTTGGGCCAGCTCAGCAGGTTAAAGGAAGCGCGGTCAGGGAACTGGAAGTATAGGACCTAGATTTGGGGCCACCTTCACCTGTTGGGACCTAATGCAGATTCTTAACGTTTTCTTGCAAGTTCGTTCCCAGTTTGTACAATGGGAGCTTGGGGGCATGCTGCAGCCAGGTCTAGAATCGGTAGGATGGGGGGGCACCAGGGTGGCTCAGTGTTAAGCGGCTGCCTTCGGCTCAGGTCCTGATCCCAGTGTCCTGGGACCGAGCCCCACATCGGGCTCCCTGCTCAGCGGGAGGCCTGCTTCTCCGTCTCCCACTCCCCCTGCTGTGTTCCCTCTCTCGCTGTGTCTCTCTCTGTCAAACAAATAAAATCATTTAAAAAAAAAAAAAAGAATCGGTAGGAGGGGACCCTGAGTCGGCCCTGATTCCGGCTAGAGGTGAGAGAAACTAATCCATTTTTCCTCCTGGAGGTGGCCCACCTGGTGGTCGTGGGAGGTGGGGGGCCCTATGAGGGAGCTATCCCAGGCAAGTCCAACAAGCTGGTCAAATCCGGTCAAGTTGCTGGACCATCTGAGCTGAGGGAGGGGAAGCCTGATGCCCTTCAGGACACCCTCAGCCTGGCGGGATCAAGGGCGTGGCCTGCTCCCCCAAGCTGCCACCACTGGCCTCTAGCTGGTACTCCGCCACCTTGGGGCAGGTATAGAGGACTCTGACATTGAAATGTGAGTGGACGTGACACAGAAAAAGCACTTAACAAAATTCATACTCCTTCATGATGAAAATTCTCAGCCAACTAGCTGATAGAGGAGAACTTCTCAACCTGATAAAAGGCTTCTCCAAAGAGCCCACGGCTAATATCATACTCAACAGTGAAAGACTGAATGCTTTCCCCTAATACTGAGACCAAGGCAAGGATGTCTGCTCCCACCCGGGCCTACTCAACATTGTCCTGCAGGGCCTGGCTTGGGCAATAACAAAGGAGAAATAAAAGGCATACCGATTGGAAAGGAACAATAAAACTGTCTCCATTTATAGACAATATGATTGTCTAGGTAGGAAATCTCAGAGACCTGTGCTGCCTTGCCTGGGCCCCTCAGGAGTCTGAGTTTGCACCTTGTCGTAATAGCTACTTCGTGCACGTATGTCTGTCCTCTGCCTAGACTGTGAAGTACCTGGTGTCTAGCATCATGTCTTCAAGAGAAGTAGTACCTTACACATCTTTTAGTGTGAGGGGTCTAATGTTTCCCATCCCCCATGGCTTCCAGCCCACTGAGACTGATCGGTGAGCTGGTCTGTGGCGGAGGTGGCCAAGTGACTTGGTACCTTCTCCCTGGGTATCTCTGCCCACCACCGCCCCCTCCCCTCATTTTATCTTCTACTGCCCTTGGCCTCTTCTAGCACCTTCTGTACGCCCTTCCCCTGCAGTCGGTCCCAGCAGTCCCAGAATTCTTATGCCCGTGGTTGCATCCAGGAGAGGTAGTGCCAACCCAGCCTCGGGGAGAAGGGGAGGAGCCCATTCCCTGGGCCCGCGCTGTAGACCCATCTATTCCCAAGGAGAGCTTGCTCCAGGGGGGCCCTCGTCAGCCTGAAGCTGTCAGTGGGGTCTGCCCCTTTTGGACCCTGGTCAAGGGATGCCTCCCCGGGACTCCAGATCCAAGCCAAGAACCTGGCACTGCAGCCCAGCTGCTGGGCCCCTTCAATGCCACTGGACCCAAGGGGACTAATAGTTGGCAAATGGTAGAGCCTATCGCGCACTCGGGTGGGAGGCAGTGCAGAGTACAGACTGGTCAGGCGGGAGGGGTGGGACTTGCGAGGGCTCTGGGCACTCTGCTGCCAACCTTCTGAATGTCAAAAAATCCCTCCAATTCCCACGATTCGGATTTCCACTTTGCAGCTAATCATTGAGAAAACTCAGAATGACCAAAAACGCCTAGGCAATCAGCCACCCTCTTGTTTCATTGTCATCTCTTTAAAAATCCCGTACGTGCACATGGCTAGAAAGTCCACAGCTCAACAAGCACCGAGGGTCTAACGAAGTTCATTACCATCCTGCCTCTGAGGCCTGCAGTTCCCTGTCCAGGGGAAACCGCCGGGACTGGTTTGTCCTTGAAATGACTCTTCATTTTACTCAGTACAGAATCAACTAGACATGTTTTGGACAACAGGCCATATGTGTGGGAGACAGACTGTTTATCCTAAACACACAGCTCTGGCTCCTGATGATTCACACATCTGGGACCTAAGCTCTGACATCCCTTGGGCCCTTGTGCGGGAGCAGCCGAGAGGCCTGGAGCAGGAGAGACACGGTGGGCAAGTGCATGTGACAGTAGGATCTCTGGTGTCAGGCCGAGGGAGGGCTAAGAAGGCCCCCAGGCGAGTGTGGAGGCAAAGAGCCCACAGAAAGGGCATGAGAGAGGCAGGGCAGATGGCAGGTTTCCACCCCGCCCCAACCTTGGGGGCCTCGGCCCTAAAGGCTGCTGCCTGGGAGTCCCTTCCTCTCCTGCTGCCCCCCAGGGGTGTCCGGGCCCAGTGTGTGCAAGGGCCAATGCCAGTGGGGGCAGAGGAGGGGCCCCCCCCCCCGCCCCAGCCTGGAGCCTGGGCTCTACGGCCTCCTGCCAGTTGGCCCCCACCCCCCCACCTCTCTCACCTTTGATCTTATCACCAGCCCCTCCTACGGGCTCATCTGGGAGCTGCCCCCGTTAATGAGTTCTCCGGGCAGCAGGGCCCGCACGCCCTCCCGGGGCGGCGAGGCCTTCACACCTCTGGGGCCCGTGTTTTGACAAGTGCCGAGCCAGTGGCTTCTGCCCCCTGGCCCGAGCCTGCCTGCGCCTGCCAACGTGTAAGGCTGGGAAATGAGGCCTGGGGGCAGCCCCACTGAGCAGAGGTGAGAGCTCAGCTGGGGCCGTTGGCCGGGGTGGGGGCGGGCGGACAGGGCAGCCTCCTCTTGGGCCGGGGCCTGGGGCTCAGCCTTCCCGCCAGGGGCCAGCGGGCTCCTCGGGCCAGGCCTGGGTCCTGCACGCCGGCCCCCCTCCCGCCTCCCAGCCTCCGTGCTCTCATTTCCCGGCAGGCCCTTCTGACACGGGAGTGCTAATCAAAGGTGCTATGTCAATACTCCCCTTGTAGCCCCTAATCCCTGTCCCCGCCGGAGCCAGGGGCCCCAGGGGAAGGAAGAAGCTCCTCTGCCGCCGGCCCGCTGAGCATCTGCAGGCGCATCTCCCGGGAGGCTCCTCACTGAGGTGTCCCCTACGGGCTGGGATCGACCCACCACCCCCCAGCACCAGCCCGAGAGGCAGGCCCTTCCCGGGGAGGGACTGTTAGGAACCAGCTGCCACCTTGACACGGCCTAGGACACCCCTGTGGAGTGTGGCCAGTGTGGGTCAGAAGCGAATCGCCATCCTGCCAGGTGCCACCCGTGTCACGTGGGGAACCCGCTCCCCATCTCTGGGCCCCAGCTTCTGCTCCCGTGCCACGAGGTAGTTAGACCTACTGTGCTGACCTTGGGCGGAGCAGATCATCCTGCGTGGCCTGGGCTTTGGGCCACCGTCGTGGTCATGGCTGCTACTGTCACCTGGGCCTGGCACCGTGTTGGGGGCATGGCTGGGTCACAGCTCGCCGCCCAGCCGTCATGTGGGCGCCACCGCCTCCCTTTGCAGATGAGGCAATGGAGGTGTCGAGTGGTCGTCCCGTGTCACGTGGCAAACAGGGGCAGAGCTGGGGCCTGTTTGCCTCTGCCTGGGTCAAAGCCTGTGTTCTGTCCTCCCCACCAGCTGTCCTGTCTCCTCGGGAAGACAGGAGGGGCTCCTTTCCTCCTGAAGGCTGCCCCAAGAGTGAGGGTGCCGGTGTGGGCGAGACGCCCCCAGAGTCCTCGAGCACCCACAACACCTTGTCACAAGTCCCAGGGACCCGTGGAGATAGAAGAAGGTTTCTACACCCACCCTGGACCTGCTGCACCAGAGCCCCTGCGGGACGGAGCTGGAGAATTTGGGTGTGAAAAGTACAGTTGCCCCAGAATTAGGAAACTCGGCCACTTTCGAGAAGCAGTGCCCTATAGTGACCACCCCCCAATCCAGAGAGTGGAAAAAGCGTGGGGAGTGCCCAGCCCCGCAGCATGGATCCTAAGCCCCCGTGGGTCACAGATGGATGAGGCTGTGGCCACCTGGAGCCCCAGGGCAGTCAGGGGGCTCAGCAGGAAGGCCCCTGACTTCTCCTCCACCTCCCTCCTTCCCCAGCAGCTTCCCAGTTAAGGCCCCCGAGGCTCCCACGGAGCCCCTTCCAACTAAGATCACCCCCTTTCCTCACACCTTTAGCTCCCGGAGCCTCTAAGTTGGCAAGCCATATGGAATAGATTATTCTGGACCCAAGGTAATCTGATTATCTTGGTCATGGATCAGCTGGATGCGCAGTCAGTGGAAGTCACAGGAGGCAGAGGGGTGATGAGGAGGGAGGGGGTGGGAAGACAGGAGAGAGATTTGGCAGATTCCGGGAAAGGCTCCAGGGGAAATGCAGAATCTCTGCAGTTCTGGGAGGGGGGCTGAGAATGCGGGGTACGCAGATAGCGCCTCTCTCTTAGGGGAGTCGCATTTACGCTCCTTTGCTTCATCTGGGTAGGTGGAGGAAGATCTAAGCTTTATAGTGTAATGTGGGGAAACCAAGGCATAAAGGGGCTAAGGAGCTGAACCTGCCCAAAGCCGAGATGTAGGCATGCGAACGGGAAGGCGGGGGAAC